TACAGGTACAAATTCGCTATGATAAATGTGATCATTATGTATATCTAAAATGTACTCACACAATCTGATTTTAAAAGGTGCATAAATAAGAGGCCAGGGTAGAGCTCAGAAGCACAAGCACCTGCCTGGCAAATGCAAAGTCCTGAGTTCAATTCCCAGTACCAAAACCAACCAAACAAATAAATAAAAATAGCCATAAAAAAGTACAAACCCATTCACTGAAGAAAATAAAGAACACAGAGACTGAGAGGTGGCTGGGGATGCAACTCGGTGATCGGTCTCACATGATCAAGGCCCTTGGGTCAAGCCCCAGAATGCAATCAATCAATTCCATTGACTCTGACCATCCAAGTGAGTGTGAAGTGGCACCTCACTGTGGCCTTTATTTGTGTTTCCCTAAGGAGTAGCACTGCTGAGTACCCCTACATGTGCCTCTTGGTCAGGATCTATCTTTGAAGAGGTATCTATGCATGACCTTTCCGCATTTTGGGATTGGGCTGTCTTTCTGCATTTGCAAGAATTCTTTATATATTCTATGTGTGTGGCTCATCAGGTAGGATTTGCAAGCATTTTTTCCCATTTTATGGGTTGTTTTGTTCACACTTTATGTGTCCTTCAATATATAATACATTTTAATACATTTTTAATTTTGATGAATTCCGACATATCAATTTTTTTCTTCTGTTACTTGTGCTTTTGGTGGCATATTTAGGAGCCCTTTGCCAATTCCAAAATCATGACGCTTTAACTATTTTCTCCTAAGAGTTCTACAGTTTTAGGTCTCATATTTAGATCTGTGCTCCACTATGAGTCAGGTTTTGTAAACGGTGTGAATGAAAGGACTAACTTCATTCTCTTCCATGTGAAAACTGTGGTAGATACAAAAACACAGAGACTCTGAGAGGTGGCTGTGTCCTGTACGAGGTCACAGGGCCAATGTTAGGGGTAAAAGCTGGTCCCCTTCCCAGCCACACCCAAATGTCCTCAATCGTATTCTTCATTACATGTGCTGAAGGTACAAGAAGAACAGACCTAAGAAATAAGACAGTGTAAATTCCTCCTTCCTGCCAGGCCTTCGTTTTCTCTTCTGTTCAATGGGCTGTTGATCTCTCAGTCTTTCCTGTTCAGAGTGCCAGCTCCCTCCAGCCTCCCGCCCCACTCACCACATCTATGTGTCTCTTCACAGGGCGTTCAGTGGGCATCCTGCTGACCAGAACTGCCCTTGTCAAAGAGGCTTCATCAGAGGCATCGAGCATGAGCTTCATCCTGGGCCTCAGCACCCTCTGAAAGCACTCAGCATCCTCTGGAAGACTCTTGCTGCCCAGGAACTCCGTGAAGACACCACAGGACTGAGGGAAACGCAAGGCAGCTAAGGTGCAGAGGGCTTTCCACACCTGGCCACAATTTTCTTCACAAGTGTTGCAATGAAGCTACTTCAGAATCAGCTTGCAAAGCTCCTGGCTGTAAATACTCCCCTTGCCCTGATGCTGGGCCTCCTTCACTGCCTTAGGAGTGCTGACTTGCAGTTGGTGCTCAGCACAGAGCTGAGTGAACGAATGAATAGATTTAAAGAGGTGGCCATTCTCTTTTCTTCCGTTCATGGCCTGAGCTGGGGGAGGCAAACTTTTTTCAAAAAGGTCTTATCATAGCTACACAATTTGCCATTGTAGTACCACACAGGACATAGAAATGAATGAGCATGACTGGGTTCTGATAAAACTTTATTGGTACACACTGAAATTTGAATTTCATTTAATTGTCATGGCATTAGAATTTTTTCCTCAACCACTTAGAATACAAAATGCATTCTTAAGATACTCTCTCAGGCTTTCACAGAGAGTACATTGGCCAAGCATTGGCCATGACTCATCCACATGGCTGCACTGATAAAGGTTCTACAATCTGAGGTACAGGATCTCAGGACAAATCCTGAGGGCATTTCACTGACCTTCTCAGACCAAAAAGCTACAACTCTTGTTGCATAGGTCCTGCTTTACCCTGGTCTTAACCATCCAGCAGAAAAGTATGAAGACGAAATTATAAGAAATAAAGCCATGCTGTTAAGTTGAGCTGTGGGGGACTCAGGTCAATAATTTCTGACATTGCCAGTTAAACAGAAGACCCAATGCTATTATGGGCTACTGGACTCTTTTAGAATATTTTGCTGAGTTTACACACCTAGAATATTCAATAACGGAACTTAGGAAAAATGGGGTACACCGATGAATGTCCTTTCTGTATCTGTGTATTCAAAGTGGTTGGGGTAGATATATAGTTGCATTCTCTTAATGAATAGAATGATTTGTTCTAATGGTGTTTGTAAATAGGATCACAAGTCCGCATCTTGTACAGCAATTAACCACTAAGAAGAATATATGCAGTGTATTATTTGTTGAAACTGTACTTCCGATTTGATTTGAAACTGTCTCATTGCTATCTGTTTATCAATAAAACTGTAGAAAAAAATGCATTCTTAGTTCTGGGGTCATAAAAGAGAAACCAGATGTGTCACGGGTTGTACTTAGCTCATTAGCTGTGCTTTGCCAACATTTGGCTTAGACTTTTGTTCTATTCTCATTTTAAATGATTTTTCTTTGTACAAGAATATTATATATTCACTCGAAAATAATCAGAAATTAGCAGCTTGAAAGTAAAATTAGAATCACCGATAAGCTCAATACATAGAGATAACTACTTCCACTAATGGGCATGTGCTTCTTTTGTTTGTTTGTTTGTTTGTTTGTTTGTTTTGCTTTACTTTGTCTAGCTCTTTAGTGTCCAAAAGAATAGCCACTACAAATATGACTATTAAAAGTAAAATTAGATACAATTAAGAAAGAAGCTTGCCTTGCCCGCCCCACCCCCTGGGCATTGTGGCTTGTGCCTGTAATCACAGCACTTGCGAGGCTGTAAACAGAAGAATCACTATGAGTGTGATCTAGTAGTAAGACCCCGAACACCCTGTAGACTCTTCCCTAAAATATAAAAATTTCATATTTTAAAATTTTATTTTATGTAATTAAATAGAATTAAATTTTGCCTAGCTATTTCAAGCGTTCAGTACTCGTACATGGCTAGAGGCTGGCTGCCACGCCAGACCTCACAGGAGCAGGGCAGAATGTTGCTACCACCACAGAAAGTTCTACTAAACAGCATCAATCTGTTTATAGCCATTTATATAGATTTCACAACAACAACAAAAAGACAGATCAACACCAAATACAGCTTTGCAAATATTTGTGTTCACTTAACTTGTTGACATGACATTTGTGGCCTATCCAATTTTCAATTGTTTACTGGTCAATTTCATGTAATGAATTTCCACTTCCCTCCTGAGTCCTTGTTATGCTTTTGTCTCCAGTTTCTGGCTCTGACAAATGAAACCACTTTGTCATTAAACCTTCATACCTTCCATTGTCTTAGGGTAAACTCTTGAAGGTGGATTGCTAGATCAAAGGGGAAAGTCATTTTTAAGACCTTCATGGGATGCCTGATCTTTCTCCAGAAAGTTATAATCATCTACCGTCAGCAATACATGAAACAGTACAATTCCTCGAAATTTCCACAAGTGGTAATTATAATAATAATAAAACCATTTTGGGGTAAAACATTTTCCCAACTGTTTTAACTTGCTCTTTTTCAACAATGTATTTTCTCCCATGTTTACTACCATTTGAGGGGGGCAGCCTTGGCCAGCCAAGGAGATTATCGGCATGGTTTAGATCTTTAGGAAAAATTGTTATGTTTACAACATAGCCCCCATAAGTGAAGGGACAGGATTCCCATACCAGAGATTAGGAAAGATCTCAGTTTCAGCAGGACTGAGGTCAGGGTCTACTTTCCATCTTTTTAAGTTATTCTCCTTTATTGCCTCTTTGAGCACTAAGAGGTAGCTATTTGGTGAAGTGTTAAAGTAGTCTACTTGCTTATTTTAATTCCTGTATTCCTAGGACCGCAAACCTTATCTAATCAGAAATAAGCCGGCCTGGATTTCTGGGCATCTGGAAGGGACCTGGGGCTCAGCAAGATTCCAGAGCGCTACTTGCAATAGGGTTGCATGGAGAAAACCAAGCTGCACTCTTTCCTGGCCTTCTTAAAGTCTAGCTGGCATGTTAGTTCACCATTCATTATGGGTACTTGGTGCTACGTTGTTCTGATGAGGATTTTTCTAAATTCTGATTTAGCCTTCTTTTTGAGTCCTTTTATAAGCCATGGGGCTATCAGTCATTCACACTTTAATAATTTTTCTCCTGGTCTTTTAGATAAAATATAGATGTATAAGAGCAACTTCATCACTTCTAGGGTTTCATTTGTACGTATAAAGGGAATACAATGACTGCTATCTCCAATTACCTTTGAGGATCAGGAAGGCTGAGGGACCTGCCTAGGTCCTGCAGAAGGAACTGCGGTCTGACTCCTACTCCAGTGCTCTTGAAAGACTATTTGTCTTCCAAGCCGGTGGGCTAGGCGTTGATGAATAAGCGGCAGCTGGGAGGGCCGACGAAGAGGGCCCTGAGAGCGGGCACGACCTCCTCTCTATCTGCTTTCTATGGACCCTTTCGCATTCCGACTCTAGAGGGACCAAGCTGGGAGTGGGATAGCTACGTTGGTCTGCAGCCTCGAGGGTTTAAACCAAGGCGTAGGTGTTGGGGATTGTAAATAAGATAGAGGTTAAATCAACCAATCTCTTGAGTCCCCGCTGCCACCACCGCGCGCCTTTAGAGCCAGGATCCCCATCTCCACTTGATGGCTGTCTTTCCTTGATGGCCCAGTCCTCCTTGCGGCCCTCGCGGTCCCTCCTCCAGGACCCCGTGCCTCCCGCCTGATTCCCCCAGCCCCTCCCGCCCGCTGGAGCTGGACTCTGCCCCCGCCCCATCTTCCCCCCCCCCCTCCCCGGGGGCGGTGGCCCGTGGCGGGTGATCTCATTGGCTGCGGCTCGAGCGAGGGGTAGCGCCGGCGGCGCTGATAGGTCGCGGCGACTCGGGGAGTCTAGAAGCCGGGCGAGTCGCTGGGGGAAGCAGAGCAGACACCCGGCTCAGCTGGAGCGCGGGGCGCGGATCCCGCGAGTCAGAGCCGGATCGGAGCCCGCAGATCGGAGCCGGAGCTTGGAGGTATGGCGAGGCGCCGATTCGCGTGGGGTGGGAGCTTCCGAGGGCGCCAAGATGCTATACGTCTGCCCTGCCCCCAAGGAGCAAAAACGGGGCATCATCTTGCAGAAACTGGGCCCTCCATCCTTCTAGGACGCGATCTCCTTCCTCCAAATGAAGGGGTCTCCCACCTCCTAGAGAGCAAAATAGCTTCATTTTCACTTCAGAAATGGGCCTTTTCTTCTGGCCGAAGCTCTAGAGATGAGTTCTCTCCCTGATTTACATCTTGAAATAGAACGTGCTCCTTCAAAGTGGGGTCCTGCCTCTCCAGCTACGCAGACACCCCTCATCCCTTTGGAGATCGATGCCCCCTCCCCTCCCTAATAAACTTAAGTTTGGATCGCTTGACTTCTTCTCACCCCCTTCATAAAGATTAGGGTTTTCTCAGCTCGTAGATAACAATGTCCTCTCCCTGTCACTTATGCAGAATGGAAGTCGTGGGAGACAAGCCCCTCCATAAGACAAGGACATCCCGAAGCAGAGACTGCAAGTCACCTTCCAAGCCCATACCGATCACCTCACATCCCCACCTCAGGAAGTGGGCTCTGGAAATGATGCGCCCCTTCTACTCCAGCTAGGGACCCTCCCCACTTATAGGAGAGGTGCCTTACTTCCCATCTGCCACGGTGAAGGCATCTGGAGGCTTCCCTCTCTTCCTGCAGTAAGGGAACTGGGCAAGGGTCTGACCACCCGTCTCTGACCAAGTCCTCTTCTGTGCCTAACCCTGGCACCTATCCCCCACTCTCATCCCCACACCCACCCTTCGCAGTCCCAGCCCCCCACACTTACTCCACCTGTCTCTGACCCCTGCGTGCCCTGCCTAATAATTCTACCTCACTTTCCTCACCTGTGCTGGCCAGAAATGAGAACAGGGGAGGTTCAGTATGAAGCCCCTGAAACTACGATCCTGCACCTCGTGTCCCTTCCCAGAACCTTCATACTCTGGCCACAGAGATGGCTTCAGGCAGCTGGGCCATCTAGGACCCTCTCTTACCTCACCTACACACACACACACACACACACACACACACACACACACACAGAGGGCTGTGTTGAGGGTACCTTCTCTTGAGGTGGTCCACCCTCTTCCTAGAGAAACATTTATTAATGCGGAAAAGGCAAAGAAGGCCCCCATTTGCTCCTTGGGGCTGCCCTGCCCTGAACTCCAGTGGGCATTGCCTGGTGGAATTCCCTGGGCACTTGGCCAAGAGAGACGGATGCTGCTGGCCTAGCCAGTGGGCTGTGGATGGTGCTGGCTCTGCTGCTTTTATGAAACTGGAATAAAGATCAGGATGCTGTGACCAGAGAGGGCAGCTCTTCTCTGGTATGCCAGCTTGGGGAGTGATGTGGACAGGAGAGAGGTTGGCAGTGAGGTTTGCCTTGTTCTTTGGTGTTGGGCACTGTGGCATGGAGTATGGAGAAATATGCCTTTCAGAGGCCAAACAGGTCATCCCTAGGGTGAGGCCAATGGCCCAGGCCAGTGTTCTAAAACCTAAACAGGCCTCTAGGTTAAAGACTCTACCTGTTCATTTGACAGTTAAATGAAGAGGCACAAAGGGGGAAGAGAGGTGTTCAAGGTCACCTAGCCAGGGAGCAGCAAAGCTGGTCACAGTTCTTGCAGGGCCCCTGGGGTGCCAGGGTTCCCCACACATGCTCCAGTCTTCATATCTGCAATGGAAACTGCTGGGTACCATGTCCCCACTTGGCAAAGAAAGCTCTGAGGCTCTGTGAAAGTCATGCAGCTCTAAAGGGACAGACTTGGAACTCAGCACTGCCCCCAGCCTGTTCCTGGCATAATCCATCCATTCCTGGGTGTCTGCTCGCTGCTGGTCACCCTGTGTGAACTTTTAATTGAGCCCACTCCTGACTCTAGGCTTGCCAGAGTCGAATGACCAGGATAGCAAGTGCGGTCAGCCATCAGTCTCAGGGTGCTGGAGTGGAGACCACTGCAGCCTCAGGTACACAGCTGGCTCCTCTCCAGGAACTCTGGGCAGCCCTGCAGAAGGCATATCCCTTCCTGCCTGACCCCTGCCTGTTGTCTCGGGCTCCCAGTTTCCTGTAGTCTCTCATCTCCACTTAGAGCCCTACATCCTTTTCTGGGGCAGCAGATGGAGAAATAGATGGAGAAACTTTAACTGCTTCCCTCTAGGACCCCCAGCTGGGCAACAGCAACCAGGTTCCCACAAATGCAGGAATCTAGGGTAGCAGATGTCCCCACTTCCACCCTGTCCAACTCCCAGCCAAGAGATTGCAATCATGCTTCAACCTAGAACCAAAAGCCGAGTTCAAGCTTAAAGTTCAGAGCCCTAATCTGCTATGTGGTATGTGATCGTGGGGAAATTCTTAACCTTCCTGTTACTTCTTGGGCGGTAAAATGAGTCAATCTTCATAAAATGCATTGCACAGCTAACGAATGAAAGTATGGGAGTGACTTCAAGTGCAAAGCCACAAAATCTTTATGCCAGTGGAATGTGGGGGCAGCTATATTTCCACGTAAACTTGTAACCTATGCTGCAGATGAGGCAGGGAGTGAGCAGTAGCCTTTGGGGACAGCGAGAGTCTTCCCAGAGAGACTGCAGCACACACAGTGGAGCACAAAGCCTACAGTCATGTGGGACTGAGAGTCCTCCTCTGGCCACTGAGCTTGTGGAGCCGTGAGCACACCACTCACTTCCCTGAGCCTCAGCTTCTTCTCTCTGGATAAGATCTGTTAGCAGAGGGCTCTGGTCCAGGTCTCTGCCCTGTAGACATTTTGAGATGGATCATTCTTGTTTACAAAAGGCTGCCTGCGCGCTGTAGGACGTGTCATCATCCTTGCCCTCTTCATACCAGTTGCCAATGCTACCCCTTAGTTGATAGAAAAAATTATCAACTAAATACAAGTAAATATGCCCTAGGGGACAAAATCTTCCCCCTCCCTCCCCATTGGGAACCATTGGTCTGGTATATGGCCTTGGGGGGTGACATAAGCCGGCCCCTTCAAGTTGCCCTAGCTTCTTGCTCTGGATTCTGCAGGACGGGGGCCATGGTGTGTCCAACCTCCCAATGTGAACAACAGCTTTAGGACTTTGAAGTTCAACAGAACACTATATTTTGCAGAGCAGTATTGTATCTATTACCCTAGGGCTCCCCTCATACAGATGAGCAAACCAAGACTCATAGGGGTTAGAAGACTAGTCTAAGCGAAAAGTTAAAGAATCACTCACACCCAGCCCTAGAGCCTACCTCTGAAAGGCATTAGGCAATCTTTCTCAAAGTTTAAACTACACACAGGTCCTTTGGCCTAGGAACCCCCCCTTGGAGGAATCTTCTGTGGAAATGCTCACAGCGTGAAGACATAAAGCTGCACGGCTTTGTCACTTCAATGTGGCAGGGGTTGCATTCCAGTCTGTTCACCAGAAACAAGGAACACTCTTAGAAGAGTGAGGTAGACCTAAGTTTCTGAGTGGGGAAGTTTTCTGGAACACATAATTCAGTGAAAAATGACAAAATTGGGCTACCCAGATAGCTCAGTGGATTAAAGCACCTGCTGAAGCAGATGCAGGGACTGGGGTTCGATCCCTGGCATGCCATGCCAGCCCCCACTCCCAGGGCATGCTGAGACTGTGATTGAGACTGGGCGTGGTGGTGCACACTTGTAATCCCAGCACTCCTGTTTTCAGCTGGATCACTATGAGTCCCATCTACATAGTGAAATCCTGTAGCCCCTGTCCTAAATACATAAAATTGGAAAAAAAAAAAAAAAAGCCAAAATCACAGAATGAAAACATACAGTATAATCTCATTTTTGCAAAAAGAAAGATAATATGTGAACATAGGTCGTTGGGGAAGTGGCAGTCAGGGAAGGG